TAAAAGTTGAAAATAACTTGTCATATTTGTTCACATCTTCAACAGCCAAAAGTTTGGCTAAACTCCAAAGAATGGAGATAAGAATGTGTGAATCAATTGAAGAAATAAAGTCTAAAGAAGGGAAGGAATAGGATGAAATAATATTTCCGAAGCTCAATTCTTTAAAACTTAAATATCTGGTAAATCTCCAAAGGTTTTACAAAGGGAGTTTAAGTTTTCCATTGTTGGAGGAATTGTCAATAAGAGAGTGCCACGATATGGTAAGTTTATGTCCTGATACTTTGAATGCAAGTAATAAGTTGTCTGAAGTTAAACTTGAAGGATCAAACACTACATTGGAAATTGATCTCAACTCTACTGTGAAGAAGATATTTCTGAGAAACGCAAGTCATTATTATCTTTTTTATTGAACATTGTTACTATTCTTGTCTATATAAAAGATACACCGTACGAGAGGCCAATGGTTATATATATATAGCCCATGATTGGGTCCTGCACCTCCAACGATTTCATGCACCTCTAAAATTTTCAAAAATACTTGTTACACATTCAATTAAAAAACCAATTAAAATGTTATTAATTTTAATAAAATGAAAAAAATCTCTGACCAGACTCTTTTAACAACTTTATCCTTCTGGAAGCTCTTGTTTCTCGCATTTCTCTTCCTCTTTTCGGATCTCAGTTTTTCTCCTCTCTTTTTTGTTTTCTTTGCTTTCTCCTCAACTTTCTTTGATTAGAAGATGTGGAAATAGAAACTCTTTTGGACGAAAGAAACGCAAGGGATTAGAACTAGGTTTTGGAAAATCGGTTTTGGAAACATGAGAAGACCTCTATCGGATGTCGAAAACCCATTTGGTCTTCATAGGAACCCATTCAGTTATTTGAATTTGAATTTATTTTTTTTAATGATTTAATTTAATTTTAAACAAGATTTTATAAGTACAAAAATATTTGAATTAATTAAATTTATTTTGAATTAAATAATTTTGTTTGTAAATATTTAATATAATTTAATATACAAATAATATAATTAAAAATTAAAATAAAAACTTAAAACGGATATGAAAATTCGATACATGTTTTTCATATGAATTTTAAATTTTAATAAATTTTTCACATGAATTATGAAATAAGTTTATTATTTGAATAAATTAAAAAAAAAGTATACAAATAATTCTGTAAAAAAAGTTAAAGACAATAAAAAAACTATTATAATAAATTTAACATTTATAACTAAATTATAATAAAAAACTAATACAATAAATTAAATATATATAAATAATTTAATAAACTAAATTATAAATTTAAAAATTATCTAATTAAATATTTTAAAATAATCTAATAAACATTTATTAATAATATAATTAAAAATTAAAAGAAATAAAAACTTCAAAAACCATATATCGGATATGAAATCCGATACATGTTTTTCATATGACTTTTAAATTTTTAATAAATTTTTCGTATGAATTTTAAATAAATTTATTTTTTTAATAAATTAAAATATTTATAAAAATTATTTTATACAAAAATTTAAGAAAATTAAAAACTAATCCAATAAATTTAACATTTATAATTATATTATAATAAAAAAATAATACAATAAATTAAATATTTACAAATAATCTAATAAACTTAATAAAATTAAATTAAACATTTAGAAATTATCTAATTAAATATTTTAAAATAATTTAACAAATATTTATAAATAATATGATTAATAATTGAAAAAAAAACTTCAAATATGTATCGGATCTATCCGGTACATTTTTTCATATGAATTTTAATTTTTTAATAAATTTTTCATACGAATTGTAAATTTTTTTTATTAAATTAAAATAATTCCTATAAATTATTTTATATAAAAATTTAAAGAAAATAAAAAATAAATATAATAAATTTAACATTTATAATTAAATTATAATAAAACTCTAATACAATAAATTAAATATTTACATATAATCTAATAAACTTAATAAAACTAAATTAAATATTTAAAATTATCTAATTAATTATTTTAAAATAATCTAATAAACATTTATGAATAATATAATTAAAGTTTATAAAAAACTTCAAAATAGAAACTATTAGATCTTATACATACGCAAAAGGAAAGTAATAAAAAACAAAAAGAGCTCATCCTCTTCCTTTTATCACTTACGAGCCGTGCAAGATGAAAGTCTATCGGATATGAAATTCGACACTCGACACATGTTTTTTGTATGAATTTTAAATTTTTAATAAAATTTTCATATGAATTTTAAATAATTTCTTTTAATTTAATTCATACAAATTATTTTATACAAAAATTATTAAATACTAATACAATAAATTCAACATTTATAATTAAGTTATAATAAGAAATTAGAAAAATAAATTAAATATTAACAAATAAAATTAATAAAACTAAATTAAACAATTACAAATTATCTTTTTAAACATTTTAAAATAATCTAATAAACATTTATAAATAATCTAATTAAACATTAAATAAAAACTTTAAAAATCATGGTTATGATACTTGTATAGGATAAAATATAATGATGTAAAAACTTTTAGAAGTTTTCATATTTAGTAAGTCATTGCACAAATAATCGATTATCAAGAGGAATAATCGATTATCACGAGCTAGTTTAGAAGAGAGTTGCTTGCGCAAATAATCGATTATTACACAGAATAATCGATTATCACGAACTAATTTAGAAGAGAAAAGCTTGAACAAATAAAAGATTATTACACAGAATAATCGATTATCACTGTTTCATTTAACACAAGAGAGATTAACCACATATATAAATTTTCATTATATATATATATATATATATATATATATATATATATATATATAGACACACACACTTACCTTACAATACTGGTTTGCGATACAATACTGGTTTGCGTTATTACATAAATAACAGGGTCCCCAACAAAAAAAAACATTTGTTTCTCTACCTTAAAAAAATAACAACTTGTCTTGAGTTCATATAATATTGTGACAAAGTTAGTCTTTTGAAGATAAAACATTTACGATCTGAAATGATGTGTGGTTGTCTTTATTTATCTAAAATGCATAAAAAATATTCATTACTACCCCATTTTAGAAAAAATAAATAAATTCTTTTTAAAAAAATTTCTCAAGCAAGTGTTATCATCATAGTAGAAGTCAACTTAAGATGCAAAGTACTAAGTAATCAAAGGAAAATAATGCATTAAGAAAAAAAGGACAAAAAAAAAATCACAAAGTGATGACAAACAGAAAAATGTATGTGACAAATAATGTATGTGATGCCTATATGGTAACTCATGTTTCAAATAAGCCATAAATATTCATTTAGACCTTTATATCCTTCTTTAAATACCTTTCGGCCCTAGTCTAGTCACGTTACAAGCCTAATAAAAATATGCACACATTGAATAATGGTTATTTAAATTTTTATAAAGATTAATTTTGTCATAAGACAAAATAATAACAATGTAATTATAAAAAAAAATATGAATGAATGAAAAATAAGTGATATCTTAGGAGGAGGGAACTCCCTACTAGATTAGTTAGAAGCATAAAAAAAAATCAAACCACCAGGAACAATCCTTTTCATAATATTTTATATATTGTATCTAAGTAAATAAATATGTCTTTTTAAAATTAGGAAACGCCTGCATAGGAACTAAAAGACATATAAGCAAAATACATTTAGTTTTGATTTTCATATGTCTAGTGACACCTCAAAAATAGAATAAATCATCATTATTGTTGAATTACGAAGTTTGTTAGTCCTAAATAAAAATTTAACCTACACAACAAATATTTTATAAATTCTTTCTAAAGTTTCCCTTGTACCAATTATATTTCTCATTGTATCGTATGACCCTCTCAACATAAAGATTTTCAATTGACAAAAATTAAGTTAATTAATTAGTTAGCTACATGGTTCTAAATCGTGATTTCGTTATAGAAATTGTGGTTGGAGGCGTTGTTGCAATTTAGGAAGAACAAAATGTATAAATAATAGAACTAAATTATCGTTAAACAAAATTAGAATTCAACTATTCGAACTGTTTAAATAACACTATACCTCATGTTTTTTACCTATATTTAGTTATGGTCCAATTTAATTTTAACAGTCTTATCTAAGAACAATTGAGTTCTTAAAAATTAAATTAATGTAAAACAATTCAAATCCAGTTTTCTTTTAAATAATTATATATATATTTATGCAATTGAGTTTGATATTAATTTAGCTGAGTTGAACCATGATAATTACAATACATATTTCAATTGTTGCATCGTTAAATTACTTTTATGTATGCAACTAAAATAAATTTCAACTACTGTAATGATGGAGATATCCATCACATTATTTTATTGAGTGCCAACTCAATACATTGGCTTGGCTGTCACCATGTGAATTGTCAATGACTTATTAATGAGGGCTTTTAATTATATTTCTCTCATATCGAGTATCTCTTTATATAAAGATTTTTAATTCACAATTTCAAAATAAAGGGAGGCTGTTTTGTACTATGTATGATGTTAATGAGATACTTGTTATTAGTTGTGGTATATTGATTGGTGTCTGAAGGGCTGGGAAGTTGAATGAGCGATGTACAAACAACCATTCTAAAAATAAATTAGACGTTTAATAATGGATTAGTTTATTAAGTAGGTGGAACGTTGCCTCGTGTAACAATATTTAGAAAGACTTGTCAGGTAAAAAATAATAAAATAATCTGAATGCAGGATCCTGATAGATCTAACTACTGTTTAAGTAAGATAACAATATAAATTCAAATATTTGATTATTTTTAATTAATAGAAGGGAACATGACAAGCGCAATATGTGGGTTAAGCATGTGAATATAATTGAAATAATTAATTTTTTTATCCTTGTTTACATCTTATCTCAAATATTAAAATGCGTCGATCAAAGAAAAGATTATTTTTTCCTTGATCGGTATAACACACGTTTAAGTAAGACAACATGTTTGACTATAACCAAATACTCATTAATTCAAAACTCTGAGCTGCATTATTATTTGGTATATTTTGAAGTGAAGGAAGTGAATTGAGGAGAAAGGGTAGTGAAAGTATTGTTTATGATCCATTCTCAGTGCTCTCTTTGAAGCTTTTTTCGGAGTCTCTGGCTACTTTAGTTGTCCTCATAGTGTGGTCAGGTAAACACTGATGTTGAAGTTCAGTTTTCTCACTCTGTTGCTAATATCTTCTTCATTTCTTGCTATAAGGACACCAAGTTTAGATTTAGGTTTATCTATAATATGAAACGTTTGCGTCATACAAATCACAATTTGGAACTCTACTGTTTCTCAAACTCTCTCACCATTCTCTTGCAGTGTTGCTCGGTATTACGATTTGGAACGGTGGAACGTAAAGGCAAATCACAGCTTAACGAGGTGTGTTTTGTAGCTTATATAAATATCAACCTATCAATCTCTATATCGCCTCATTTTTTTTGTTTGACTATTTTACAAATTTGACTCATACAAGATGGATATTACGTATACAAAATTATGAACTTAGCAAACAATAATTTTAAGTTTTACATAGTTTGTCTCACACTCGAGGTAACATATCCTTAACAGTACTCTTAGTTTTAAACTTACTTTAGACTTATGAATAATGCATATATTCTGTTATCATATTAAAAAAAGTGAAATTAATTTTAATTCAATCTTATAAATTTCATTTAATAACAAAAAATTACGTCTGTTATATAGTATAATTTAATCATAATTCTATTATATTATATTTTAAAATCGTAATAATATTTCATTTGAAGTATGTTGTTAAATATATAAAAGCATTAACACTTGCTTTGTTTTAAGTGGAGAAACAAGCTGGTTCAAGATAAGTTACAAAAACGAGATAATAATAAAATATTATAATTACGAAAAATTATAGTGGTTATGGGCAAGAAACTTTGTTCACAATATTTAACAAGGATTTGCCCAAAAACACTATATATAATATTTTAATATAATTTATTATTTTTAATATACAACTTTAAGTTTTTATTATAATAAATTATATAAATAATATTAAATATTTAAAATAATATATAAAATAAATTTATTAATTTAAATTTGCATACTTTATAAATTTATTTATTTTAATATATTTTTACTTTGAAATACAACTTTTTATTCATTAAAAATTTATAGTAAGTTTTATTTTAATTTAAAAATTTATTCTAATTTTAATTTATATATCAAGTTATTTATAAAATTTTATTTTTGAAACTAATCTGAAATATATCAAAATTTTTGAATGGCTCGATTCAATTTAAACTAATGATTAAATTATATGTATTCGAATTATTAAATATTAGCAAATCAAACATTAATCCTAGTAGTGAGGCATATTAATTATTCGAATTTGAAAATGAACTTAGATTGAATTTTCCAACCATATATAAGTTCTTAAAACCATGGATGATTAATAAATAAAAGTGAATCGAATCAAAGAAATATAATTAATTGAATTTAAAAATGCTCTTATTTGCGGATTTGTAATATAGTTTTTTTTAGTATTTAAATATAATATTTAAAGAATACTTGTGTTATTTATCTTTGAGAAAAATAAAGAAAGTAATTATGAGTATTTTGTATACTCCTTATAAGTGGAAAGTGGTAAAAAAGTACCGATATCAGTTTAATACATTGTTAAATAGGTACTTATCTTCTCTTAAATTTAGCATTTCTATATAAATTGTAATACAATATTGATTTGATTTTCATTTTTTATTGACTAAATATTATTCTCCTTTTTTTACTGACTGGTATATTTTTACTTTGTGTTTTCTTGGAAAAGGATGTAATCCGACCTTGTATAATTAAGCTCCAAAAATAGATTTTTTTGGAGTCCTTTAGTTAGAGGAGTGATTAATTTTATATGGATTAATTTTAAATGGAAATGTGGTGGTGTTAGATGACACGTGACTTACATAGTCTATCATTACAAACAAAATATTTTTGAACTATCTATGATAGTGTTAAGAATCTTGTATATGAAAAAGGAGAGGATAAAACATCAATGTGATGAGGTTGAGAAAAACATAAACAGGTAAGGCTATAACATGGGTTTAAAAAGGACAATCCTAAAATTGTTTCTTGTCATTCTTAGTAGTTCTAGTTCTTCTCAACGTAGTAAGCTCTCCAAGTTGAAAATGGATGCTCCATCGAATCCCCTACCCACCACCATAAAAGGAAAAACTTCAATTTTGCATCTCCCACAAATTAAATAAGTAAGATGAAGATGAATGACCCATGTAGAAACAACACACAAAGGTGGAATACAACCTTTACGGATTAGGGAAAATTATACGTTCTTCCTTAAAAGGACATTGAACACAAACTATGTTTTCTCCTCTCTAACTCCACTCCAAATTTAACATTTCTACCACTTTTGCGTTTCATGTAACATTCCATTTAGTAGCATAAAACTTATAAAATAAGACATTTCATAATAATATTTGAAACAAAAAATCTACAATCTAGAGAATTGTTATTATAATTATTCCAAGGTATAACAATAATAACATGAGATACATAGGTATTGTTTCAAAGAAACTATGGTATAGAAGGAAAGATAAGAGTCTTTCTTAAGATTCTAGAAAAGAAGGAAAACAACCAAACAACAAACAACAACACATATCCCTCCTAAAATAGATCAAGTTTTATTCTCTCATACTAATAAAGGTGATTATTGCAAAAGAAAGAAAACAACATAAATAGAACAAAACAGAAGAAAGGGTATGCTAATGTGCAAAAAGAATTTTCATAAAAATACTATAGAAATATCATCATACATCACACACTCATAAAACAACAATATCACGTATAAAGACTCAATTATTCGAATAAAGCGCTGATGTGAAATCGGGGGAGGGAGGTCACTTGTGGTGTCCTCTACTGCTCTTCAGAGCCATTGTCAATGGGTTTCACCTTGGCCAAGGTAAAAAGCCCTTTGACGAGGACTTCTTGTACCTCTCATCACATACCCCATTTTGCTCTACTTGAGCTTGAATAATTGTTAGAGTAATAAGATAACCTCTGTCAGACCTCGGAAAAACGCACCCAAAACCCCACCTGTCAAACCTCATTAAAACGCACCCAAATCCCCTCTGAGCGGACGCCAGGTGTCAAGAAACGAGGATCCAGAAATCAGATAGTGGAATGCAGGTGTCAGCAGGAGAGCGGACGTTCGTTTTTAAACAAAACTGATTTTTATGAAATCCGTGTCACTCCCTGCATGCGCTCTTCTTCTCCAAAAATCTGATTTTTCCATTCCTCCTCCTTCTCTCTAAAACAACTCTCCCTTCTTTCTACCAGAACTCACTCTTTCTTTTCTCCGATCATCCTTCAGGCACCAGTTCTACATTTCCGGTGTAGAGAACAATCGTTTGAACCGATCCGTTTAAGATTCTGAACTGGTAAGTTCATCCTTTCTCCATTCGTGTTTTTCTGTAACATGCAAACCCAGATTTTTGGTTGCATGAGTTGAATCTATCATTCTGAGTAATTGTATGGTCTATGTGGGTTATAGTTTGTAGAACGTTGAGACCCCGCTTAGAAGGAGAACCCTAGCCCATATCTGAGAACGTTCGATCACCTTTAAGAGGTAAGGGAAGCTTATCTAATTTAATTGTATGTTCTTGCACGTTCGTTGATAATGAATGTATGTTGCTGAGTGGTTGAATGTATGTATAAAGTATGAATACTGATATGGTTGTTGATGTGAAATATGATTTCTTAGTATGATATGAATTTTATAAAGTTATGAAATTATGTATTGATAAATGAGATCTGAATATGAATTCCCCTATGTTAGTGTACGTTCGTCATTGAACGGTCCTTGACCGTTCGATGTTTCTATTAAGTCTGATTGAAATTGAATTCTTTCATTTGGAAAGAATTCTAGTTGAGGACGAACGTCTTCGTATGATAGTACTGTGCTTGAGCGTTCGGTCAAGCGTAGTTGCATCTGAGTATTCAGTGATAAACTTAAACCTGGTAAATATATGTATTTATATACAGTATTTATTCTTAAACACAATTCCGACAATATCTCAAGTATAAATCTTTCTATTATAAACTTTAGTAGCGCTCGGTCTCACACCAAACTCTCGAAGTGAGTAGTGCTCGGTCTTATACCAAGCACCTTTACTCTTTTATAATTAATCAATCATGATGAAATAACGTCCGTCCAACTTCAGTAGGATTCCCTTTCATTGTGTTCGGTCATTGACTGGCATTGGGTTTAGGTACATGAATTATTCTAAGTATGGTTCTTTAACGTCTTGACTTGTCTACATTCATTTTCTCCGGCCTAAAGCTTCCGTACTTGATATTCTTTGAGTGTTGGTTTGAGATCTCGAGAGTCAGTCCATTTAACTGATTCATGTTGTAATTAACGTTCGTCCTATATTATATAATTGTACTCGTTTATTCTTAAATATAAAAGTAATCCTTTTGGTCTTATTCTATTCTGGAACTTGGGGATTTCTCGGTCCCGTTCCTAGTGTTCATCCTCGTTTTGAGTGGGGACTGAACGTTCGGTTTTTGTTGTTAGTCGAATTGGTGTTAAAGATGGAATAAAAATGATGGATAATAAGAGATGGAGAGTATATGAGATGGATAAACTGTTGTGGATTATGAACGAGCGTTCCAGGGAGGAACGACTCATGTATGAATATTGGAATTTGTAAAGTATGACTGTGGTAATGATAAGCTGTCGATTCATCCTGATGTTCCGTGAGTACTCGTCCTTATGTAGAGGAGGGTAGGTCATGTGTGGGAACGGCAGGAGGTCCTAGTCCTTAGGGGTAATTCGGACAGATAGGGCTAACCTCGGGTGGCAGCTGTTGAGTGTATCCCAGTTACTACACCACCCGGGTGCACGAACGTCGTAGCTACACAGATGTCATACAGTCCGGACGGTCAGTCTAGTGATAGGCTTGGTATGATACATATAATTGAAATTCTTGTGTGTGTTGGATTGTTTAACTCATATGTTGGTGCATGAATTAAATTACATAAGCTTACCCTGTGTTTTCCTTGTGTTGTCTTGTTGTACGTCCGTCCTTGTCGTTGTAATGATCATCCGTGTGGATGTGAGCAGAAGGAGACGCGCTACTGGAAGATGCGCTGGAAGAAGAGAACTTGGTAGGTGTAGAGGTGAAAACCGAACAGTAGGACGTTCGGATAATAGTTTGGTTATTGGGTAAGGTGGTCGTTAAATCACCTTTTCCTTTCTTTTGTATGACCGTTCGGTGTTGGTTTTGTAAACCGTTCGGTCAAATTTCGCTTATCTTGTACAGTTAAGATTGTAATTATACGTAAGGTCGTTCGGCCATAACCGTACGTTCTTTTAAATGTTAAGACTGATCTGAGTTATTATTAATTGTAAATATTCTATTATATGGTTTATGGCTATATTTTTGGGATGTTACATTCTCCAACGCCTAGACTCTTACATTCGTGCTTACACTAATGAAATGCCACCATAAAATCTCCCTAAGAGATCCATGGAATTATGCTAACACATATACCATACGCATCGTCATCACAATGTCATACATGAATAAACACCATAATACTCTTAGACATGCATAAAGTACATTGTAAATTCTATATCAAACAACCATTAAATAAGAAATTTCAGACATGTACACTTATGCTTAGAAGTGGTGCCCAATGCTAGGCTTTTCTTAGAAAGTGACACTTAGAGGTAGTGCAGGCACTTAGCGTCAAACCTTTCGCAAAAGGCAGCACTCAAGGACAGTCCTGGTGCTTAGCGTCATTCTTCTCCCAAAAATTTACACTTAGCAATGTTGGGCATCCAAGTGTGAGTCCAAGTCCCACATTGGATAGAAATGAGAAAGTAGAGCACACTAGTACAAAAACAGCGTACGACGTCGAATACTTTTGGCCTTTCAAGTCGAATTCGAGAACGACGTCATATTGGGAGACGTTAAATTAACGTCGAATTTAAAAACTTCGACGTTAATTTAACGTCGAATTTTGTCAATATACTACATTAATTTAACGTCGAATTTTGTCAATATATGACGTTAATAATTTTTTTTTAAAATAATTGTAATCCTTTTACGATGATATAGGATCAACAATAAATAACAATGACAAACAACAAACAAGTTCAATTAAACAACAACAACAAACAAGTTCAACAAAACAACAATAACAAACAAGTTCAACCAAACAACAACAACAAACAAATTCAATAAAAAAAAAACAACAAACAAGTTCAACAAATAAGTTTTTCAAGACGAAAACGAAAACTAACCTTCAAAAGGTGGGTTCATCGGAATAAAGTATTGCCACCAGTGAGAGAGAAAGCAGAATGCGCATATGAAGGACAAGAACACGAAAATAATCGGTGAAAACAAACGAAAATCATACCTAAAGTAGTTAATTAACATGCATTTGTATCAAATGAAAGAAATATTACATGTGATGGTCGTCAAACTTCGTTCGAGAAAAATTTGAGTAGAGAAGAGGGTCTCGCGCGCTAAGATAAAGTGAATGAATTTTCACTCTCCCGCTCAAATTTTTATTGAATTCACTAACCTTTTGACGTCTAACACTGAGACATTTGACGTTTTATATCCTTTTATGTCGAATTATAATTCTAAACGACGTTAATAATTGCATTTATTTACAAAATTGCCACCGGTCATTTTTAACGTTGGCTATTGAGTGATTAGATGTTGAACGTGTGACGTTATACGCTGTTTTTGCACTAGTGACAGTATATAAAGGTGAAAGACCCATTAACCCATTGCCTTAAGGTTTTGGGTAAAGAGTGGTGTCGATCCCTTATATAGTTGGCTCAGATGTTATTGGTGTTTGTGTAACCCACAAGAAACCTCTTCCTCGATTTTCCCAACAGTGGTATCAAAGTCTGGTTTGTCTTGGTGACCGACTCAGACGAGTATAATGATCCTTATACCGAAAGTCTTCCTGGCAAAGGTATTCAAATAAGTGAGTTCTGTTAAGATGAACGGCGGTTGGAAAGGGCTACTCGTGGTTGTGGTTGGTTGGGAATGCTTCCGCTAAAGGGGGAGTGTACCTATGTGGAAGGGACTCACCCTTGTAGGGGAGATTGTTGGGAATCCAAGTGTGAGTCCCAGTCCCACATTGGATAGAAATGAGAAAGTAGAGCAGTATATAAAGGTGAAAGACCTATTAACCCATTACCTTAAGGTTTTGGGTATAGAGTGGTGTTGATCCCTTATATAGTTGGCTCAGATGTTATTGGTGTTTGTGTAACCCACAGGGAACCTCCTTCTCGATAGACCCAACATATATCACTCAACACAAACATGAGACATGTAAGGAAAGCAATAAACAACACAGACTTGGATCAAGAATACTCATCTCTTGAAGAACCATGAATGAAACCCATACTCTTGATACCTAAAGCATGTAGTCTTTGCTCTTGATATCAAATGATAAAAAAAATGGCTTGCTCCAAAACCTGGACCAAGGCCCTCTTCACTAAATTGCAAAATAGACACCAATGATGGATCATGAGCCAAATGATGGAACAAAACCCATAGAAAGGAACAAGGTTTGGTGCCAAGATGACGAAAACCCTTTTCACTCAAGTTTAAGGAGACTCCATTGAGATGTTGTACTAGTTGCGGAAGCACATGTAAAGATGAAGGAAAATTAATATGGTGAGTGTTTGGATGTGTATCTTGAAGGAGGTTGGGTCAACCATCAAGAAAATGTTAAGAGACATCAAAAAGACATCTATCCTAGTGAACTTAGAAAAAGAAAAGTTGCAATATGGGGTAAAGTTTCTCTTCATTAATTCCAAGTTTAAGTTGAATATAAAACTCTTGAGCACTCCCTTTTATAGAAGGAGTAGTGGACTCATATCTTAATAAGGAAGAAAGAAAAGTACATTGAATAATAAAAATGCATTGAACCTAAAGTTTCATGAACCTTCTTCTAGAGTGTAGATGAATTGCACTAGGTGCCTTAACCTCTAAGTATGTCCTAAGGGTTATTTGAGGCCCAAGCAAGCGTAACAAACCACTTAGTTCACATTCCTACTTAAGAATAAAAAATAAGCTGACGTTTTGGTCAAAATCTGTCTATTTTAATCGATTATGCGAGACTCATAATCAATTAAATCATAAAAACTTCCTTCTTTTCGAGATGTTTATGGAATAATAGATTATTCGATGAAATAATCAATTATTTCATAGGCTGATCAAAAGAAGTGGAAAGAATACAAGCCTAAATGAAATGTAACATTGGCCTAAATACAAGGCCTAAAGAAAAGACTTACATAATTACAAAGCTTAAGAGAAGAAAAAAAAGTTTAAACAATATCCTTCACAAAAGAAGAGCTCTTTGAAGTCTTTCTTCTTCTTCTTCCATTCTTCTAGTCCTTGTTCATGTTGTAACTCCTTAGATAATTTTCATCAAGTTCCCTGGATAGGTTCCCATCAGTGTTCTCGACAACACAAATGAGGATTGTGATGAATGGATGAAAATGGAAAAGAAAGAGAGCAAAGAACATGTACAAATTACAAGAAAAGAAAATTAAAAATGAATATATATATATATATATATATATATATATATATTGAAATTACAGGGAAAACACTAGAGAGAAGGTGAATAGTGTTTTCAAAATCTTTTCGCAAATCAACGTCTAATAGCTTGTAAAGATAATGTGTAAGGGTTTTAAGATTATTAGATGCTAGGTTTTAATAATACGAGTGAATAAAAAAACGTGTTGAATAGAAAAATAGTAAACCACAAATTTTTATATTGGTTCACTCAACCTGAGTTATGTCCAATTCTCTCTTAAGAACTCTTAAGAAGTTTCACTAATCTTTTCGAAGATTACACGAGTTTTGTTTGTCCAAGATCTCACCAAGTATTCCCACCATTCCTTGTTACAATGAGTATTAATATTACTTCTGGTTTCCTAGTCATTCTTATGGGCTGAAAAGTTATTGAAGTGTAACAATTCTCATTAAAGAAAATAAGAGGAAATCCGTAATATACAAAGAAATATGTACATATGCTGTTCACACATTTTACATCAAGTAGTCTCACTGGGCTTCTTACTTTGTTTCTTGATACTTCCACAATCAACAATTTGTTCACATATAACATATAGTAGTTGAACAAACAACAAACAATAAGATAGTGCAAGTAGAATAATTTAATACAGATATAAATTATCTAAAAAAATTTAACACATATATAATTGATTTCGTTACTCATTAAATGTTATCTTATTTTTTTTTATTCAGTTACTGATTGATATGTTACGTTGCTGATAAAAGGATGTAGTCCCACCTTGTAGAAGATAACCAGGCTCCAAGGATGGATTGGTCCAGCGTTGTAGTACAAGGGATTCGTTTTGTATGGAGACACGGTGTTCGACACGTGACTTACATAGTCTGTTATAAGCAAAGTGTTCATGAACTGAAGGATAGTGTTAAGGATCTAGAAAATGAAAAAGACAAGATAGATCATCAATGTGATGAGGCTTATAAAAATCTAAAAAACATTGAAGGTAAGGTTATTGAATGGAGTCGAAAAGTGAGTGAAATTAAGACTATAGTGGAGGAGTTTGAGAATGATGATGGCCACAAAAGGGCCAGATCACTCAATTGTTATGTTTTTTCGTACTTGTGGAATAGACACAGGTTAGGAAGACAAGCAAAGAAGATGGAAGTGGGTGTTAAACAGCTAATTAATGAGTCCCCTGGGTTAGATGAAATTTCCTATAGGGAAAATGTAACATCTAATGATACCACATTGTCTAATTCTGGCTTTGAAGAATTCAGTTCTACAAAATCCACAATGGAAAAAGTAATGAGACAACTTGAAAATTCCAGTGTGAGAATGATTGGATTGTATGGGGAAGGAGGTGTGGGTAAGAGTGCTTTAATCAAAGAAATTGCAAGGATAGCTAAAGACAAGTTGTTTAATGTGGTGGTTAAAGTAGAAATAACAGCGAATCCCAATCTGCAGAGCATCCAGGAAGAAATTGCTTATATGTTACAACTGCAATTGGAAGGGGAAGGGGAAAATGTGAGAGCTGATTGTCTACGGAGGAGGTTAAAGAAAGAAAAAGGAAACACCCTTTTAATCTTGGATGACCTTTGGCATAAATTAGATCTAAACAAGTTAGGGATTCCAAGTGATGATAATGATGATTTAAGTAATGATACGAGGGGTCTTAATGATAAATTCTTGAAAAAGGACAAAAATAACATGGATCATCATAAGACAGTATTGAAAAGAGAAAAAATCATTGGCGGTCATAAGGAGTGCAAAATTTTGCTCACTGCACGTCAAAAAAGAGTATTAGAAATTGAAATGGATGTAAAATCGACTTTCCGTGTAGAGCCATTAGATGACAAGGATGCTTTGATGTTTTTTCAGAAGTTGTCTGGAATACATAACATGTCAGACTCTAGAAAAGAAATTGTGACGAAGTATTGTGCAGGGTTACCAATGGCAATAGTAACAGTTGCAAAGGCATTAAAAGGTAAGAGTGAGTTAGTATGGGAAGCAGCACTTGAAAAACTTAAAAAGCAGGAATTGGTGGGAGTTCAAACATATATGGACATTTCAGTGAAGATGAGTTATGAGCATCTAGAAAATGAGGAGATCAAATCCATTTTCTTACTTTGTGCTCAAATGGGCCATCAACCACTGATTATGGACTTGGTGAAGTGTTGTTTTGGTTTGGGTATACTTGAAGGGGTCTCCTCACTTTGGGAAGCTCGAGACAAAATCAAGATAACAATCCAAAAGCTAAAAGACTCGGGCTTACTATTGGATGGAAATTCTGATATTCATTTCAATATGCATGATATAGTTCGAGATGCTGCTTTGTCTATAGCAAACAAGGACAAAAATGTTTTTACTTTAAGAAATGGAAAAGTAGATGAGTGGCCTGAACTCAGGAGATGCACTTCTATTTCTATATGCAATTGTGATATCATTGACGAGCTTCCTACAGTCAAATGTTCTCGACTTAATTTTTTTCAAATAGACACTAATAATCAATCTTTGACAATACCTGAGAAGTTTTTTGAAGGAATGAAAAATCTCAAAGTTTTAATATTGACCGGTTTTCATCTAAAAAGATTTCCACCTTCGATCAAAAGCTTATTAAAGCTCAGAATGCTTTGTTTGGAACGGTGCACTTTAGAGGACAACTTATCCATAGGAGAGCTAAAAAAGTTAAGAATTCTTAGCTTCTCTGGATCCCAACTTAAAAGTTTGCCAACTGAATTGGGGTGCTTGGATAAGTTACAACTGTTAGACATCAATGATTGTTCTATACTAGAGATTAACATTCCACCTAATATTTTATCAAGTTTGACACATTTAGAAGAGTTGTATATAAGGAAAAGCTTGACCAAAATGTTGGTGGAAGGAGAGCCAAGCCATGGTCAAAATTCGATTCTTTGTGAGCTGAAGAATTTGCATCAGTTAAAAGTTGTGGACTTAAGCATCCCATGTTTTTCACTTTTGCCTAATCACTTGTTCTTTGCCAAGTTAAAAGATTACCAAATTGTTGTTGGAGACGTGGAAATGTTTTCTATTATAGGCTTTAAGATGTTTGATAAGTACGAAACGTTCAGAGTTTTGGCATTACAACTGAATCATGACACTAACATTCACTTCCAAGAAGACATAAAATTGTTGTTTAAAACAGTACAAAGTTTGTTATTGGGAAAGGTAGATGATGTTGTTGAAGCTGTTAATAAGTTGAATATGGATGGATTTCCAGATCTGAAACACTTATCCATCATAGATAGCAATGCCATCAAATATGTCAATTCAATGGAATTGTCTAATTGTATAAATGCTTTTCCCAATTTGGAATCTCTATGCCTTTACAATCTGAAGAACTTGGAAATGATATCTAATGGTCCACTTACAGTTGCTTCATTCGCCAAATTAAAGTCCATCAAGGTGAATATGTGTGATCGATTGGTGAGTCTCTACTCCGTTTACATGGTGGAATTTGCTAATAGTGAAGTACCATGTAAGATTTGTAAATATAATTCTTACTTGGATAAATTTTGTGCTAGCCTAAAAACAATCGAGGTTTCTGAATGTGAATCTTTAAAGGAAATCTTTCGAATACCAAAGAAATGTTATAAGGTTAAGTTTCTAAAGTTGCAGACTTTGACATTCCAAAAGTTACCATCATTAACATGTTTTTATACCAAAGTGGAGAAGTCTTGCTGGCTACATCCGACAAAGCCTCAAACTAAAAGTAGTGGTAGTGAAGAAGATCAAAAAAGTTACCAGGCACCTCCACTTTTTGGTGAACAAGTATGATATTACACATTTTCCCTATAATTTAAATAAATTGTTCAACTGTTGTAAAATATTAACTGTGTATGTGTTTGCAGGTTGAAATTCCAAACTTAGAGAGCTTGAATTTATGCTCACTCAACATCCATAAGATATGGAGCGATCAACTCTCGTCAAGTTTCTGCTTTCAAAACTTGATAAAACTAGTTGTGAAAGAGTGTGATAAATTGACATACTTATGTTCGTTGTCTGTGGCTAGTAGTTTAAAGAAGCTGAAAAGCCTTATCATAAGTGAATGTCCAATTATGGAGAAGATTTTTGAGACAAATGAAAATAATGCAGATAAGGTGTGTATTGGTGTAAATAAGAGTACATGTTTTTAGTTCAGTTAATATTTTGTTTACAGTTCTTAACCAAACTCTACACTTTGTGTTTTTTGTTTAACATCTAAATGTAATTATTATATGTTTTCATCAAAATGTAGGTTTGCGTCTTCCCTAAGTTGGAGGAAATCCACCTTAGCAAAATGAGGAGACTAAGAGATATATGGCATACTAAAGTGAACATTGATTCTTTTTCTAGTCTCATTTCGGCGAACATTGATGAGTGCAATAAACTAGACATGATTTTTCCAAGTAACATGGAAGGATGGTTTGAAAGTTTGATTAACTTGAAAATTTCTAGATGCAAGTCCGTGAAAGAAATTTTTGAAGTTAGAGATTCTAAAGAAATAGATGTATCTGGTGGGATAGACACAAATCTGCAGGTTATTCTTCTTGAAAACCTCCCGAAATTGAAGGAATTGTGGAGCAAAGATCCTCATGGAATTCTCAATTTTAAAAAACTTCGGACTATAGATGTAAGTTATTGTGATGAATTGAAGAATTTGTTTCCAGCTTCTATGGTAAAAGATGTATCAAAGCTTGAACATATGTCAATATTACATTGTGAGAGGATGAAGGAAATTGTTTCAAGTAAAGATGCATCAGAAGCTAACAATGATCCATTAGAGTTTCCTGAACTAACCTATGTGAGATTGTATTCACTACCGAATATCAAACATTTCTATAAGGGGAGACATATGATAAAGTGTCCAAAATTGAAGGAGTTAGCTGTGAACCGCTATTTGAAGCTTAAAGCATTTTCCAAAGAAATCGTTAAAACAACAGAGGAAGAAGAAAGTTTTGTTTTCTCAGCTCAAAAGGTACGCAATGTTCCACCTTTCTTAGAGTTCAACAAAAAAAAAATGTGTAGTCAATTTATATATATATATAGGAGAAAAAGACACAAGAACTAAACTAAAAATAAATATTTTTTTGGATGAGGAGAAATAAAAGATAGATTAAATAAAAATTGAACTTTTAAGATTATTCAATTTGAAAAAGAAATATAGGAATGCTATTTTATTTTTACAGTGAATGTTATTCATAATAATATATTATTAATTTTATTTTTATTAAAATTTTCATTTTTGGTGTAAAATAAAAACTTTGTACTCTGTAAAAAAAAAATATAGTCTGGCATCCGATATTTTTGCACCTTTCTAGTTTTCTTAAAATGAAATTAATGGCATTTTGACTTCTCATATTGTCTTCGCAATCTTACCCTCTGAATTGCTGATTAATCACGGGTTCCCCGAATTGTTTAAAACCAAATCCTCATTATTTACAATTTTTCTTTTTCCCTTTAAGTCAATGGCTAAAATTAATTACTAATTTGCTTGTAGGAGCCTCAAGAACAAAATTTTCCAGAACATGTAGTATTTACGGTCAAATCTATATATTTCCACAAGTATTTCCTATAAATATTTTTTCTTGGAACGTATTAATATATATATATATATATATATATATATATATATATATATATATATATATATATGAAAGAGGTACCGGAGCCATTTTACTTCGTTAATTCTTCATAGAATTTACTTTTATTCGTTTCACTGTTTAGGTATTCCCCAACTTGGAGTATATGGAAATTGACTTCGAGGAAGCACAAAATTTGTTACCCAAGTATCAAATGCACCGTCTAAAAGAACTTAATTTGATTTCAGTAGAAAGTGTTGATTTTCTTAACCAGTTTCCATACAGAATGCCAAATCTTGAAAAGCTAAAATTGGCTTTTCCTTACTCGTCCAAAGTGTTAAATCCAAGAGCAAATTTAGCACAGCAAGAAGGATTGGTAATCGCATTAGAGCTGAAGGAGTTAGTTGTGATGTATTCAGGGATAACGGATCTAGGATTTCCAATTCTAGGAAGACTAGAGGTTTTAAGCTTAATTGGGTGCGACAAATTGAGCAATTTAGATCCTCCCTCTTTATCTTTTACATACTTGACATGTTTGAAACTGACCAATTGTTCGGGATTAAGGAACTTAATGACATTCTCCACCGCCAAAAACATGGTTCAACTCAAGACTCTGAAGGTAATCCGTTGTTCTAATGTAGAGGAAATAGTAAGCAATGAGCTGAGTGAAGAAGGCATAGAGATGAAAATTGAATTTAGCAAATTGATTACCATAGAACTTGTGAAACTAGACAACCTTGCAAGTTTTTGCAGTTGCAAGCACTCTGAATTTGAATTTCCATCACTGGAAATATTGATTGTAAGAGAATGCTGTAAGATGGAGAAATTCAGTGAAAGAGATCCAATAACACCAAAGTTAAAAAATATATTTGGTGTGGAAGGAGATGAAAAAGCCAAATGGCTCTGGGAAGGCAACTTGAATGACACCATACATAAAATTTTCACCGATAAGGTAATTATTCACTTATTCATTTATTTAATACTATTTCTTCTCATTTTATTAAAATCTTCTTTCCAAACCACGATTGGAAATTGCAAATCCTTGTTTTTAGCATAAAACCTTTAAATGGTAAGTATGTTGAGTTTTTCAAAGATTCAAACTCCTTTTATCTCTCTAATAAATTAGACGTGGTTCATCTATTTTTAAAGCATACAATTTAATATAAACTGTCTGAAAAAGCATTCAATTTAATACATGATTTCCATCTAAAAAAAAGTACGTCAAGCTTTTTCACACAACACGGTTAGCAAATTGTCACTATAATAGTTTAATAGTTTATATATTTATATTAAATATTTATGTTTTTATCATAAAAGAAATTACACAAACCTGACGGTAATAAGTTAGTAATATAACACTTTTACTAACTTTCACTATATATTTTCACTGTAAGTACTTTTAAATTAATAAACTTATTTTTGCATATATATAACTATTTTAATGAATTTATAGTATTACATTATACTTGTCTAAAAATATAAAAAGAAATAGTATTACTATTTATTTTATTTTATATTAATAGTTTTGCTAGAGTAATGAGTATATTAAATTTAATTCATATCAAAAAAATATTTAGATAGTAATTTGATAATTTTAATTTATAAACCATTTCTACTGTTATTAGTACCAGGAAATATATTATAAATGAAAAAATATATTTTTAGTTATTTAAACTTTTTTAATTTCAAATATGTAAAAAAAAAAATCTTTAACTTTGTGGGGATATAAAAACTATCATTCTATTTTACAGGTCAGTTTCGCATATACTGAGAATCTGCGGCTTCACATATGATACTGATATTATTATTTTATAAATAATTTACATTGGCTGAATCTAAGTTACGTCGCCTTCTTTTATCCTGATTTACAGGTCTATTTCACATACAGTGACGATCTTTGGCTTGACAGTAGTACTGAATATATTATAGAGCAACTATGGCATGGCAGTGATTGGATGCAGCAAAATTGCTTTGATTATTTGAAAACGTTGACTATATTCGGATGTGATAGTGTAGTGCATGTAATTCCATCTCATTTGCTTTCTTGCTTTCACAATTTGGAAGAATTAGAAGTAGTGAATTGTGCAGCAGCACAGGTCATTTTTAATATCGGCGATGAGAACAGGGTGATGACAAAACCTTCAGGAATATTCCGTCCGAAAAAATTGTTTTTAGATCTCCTACCAAAACTGGAGCATGTATGGGACAAGGATCCGGAGGGAATCATTGGCCTTCAACTGCTAAAGAAAATGAGTGTTAGAAGTTGTGAGTGTCTTAAAAGTTTGTTTCCAGCATCGGTAGCCAAAGATCTTGCAAGACTTGAAGTGCTTGAGGTAAATGACTGTCGGGAATTGGCAGAAATAGTTAAGGATGAAAAGGATGAGGAAGGAGAAGGAACAACACATGAGTCTGTGTTTCCTTGTCTCACCACGTTGATTCTAGAAGAATTGCAAGACCTCAAATATTCTATCCACTCCAAACAACAGGTAATTCTCACACTTTGCCTTTATGTCACCATTCAAAATTAGCTTTTATACAAAATCAGTGTAACAAGAAAATAGAGTGCATCTCCAATTTAATAATTGTTCACTATGATGATTAGTTTTGATATTAATTTATAAATTTAAAATTATTAGTTTTTGAAGTAATTTTTTATGAATAAAAAATATCATTATTTTGTAAATTAAACTGTAAATTTTTCACTAATTATTTTGTAACCAATTTAGACACTAAAAATTAAAACCTTGGTAGTTAACATCAAAGACAAATTTAGAATCTAATTCACAAAGTAATTACAAATATTTATTCATGATAGAGACTATTTTGGATACCTAACTATTATAAATTGATATATAAATTAATTAGTGACCAATCAATTTTAGTTTCTAAAATTGATTGTTATATAAGGATTTTCTTGTAGTGGTATTAGGCAAACCTGGTCAGATGGACAGAAGAAATATATGCAAACATACTATAGTATAGTGTAATTATTATCCTTTCACAAAAACTAAGTCTTTCAAAATACACAAGTTATTTTACCATCCTTCAAAATGCAAAACAACACTAATAAACTACACCGTACAATATATCTATGTACATAATATCCTAAGGAATTCCCATCAATGCCTTCAACATCTCATTTGCTAACGCCATAAAAGCAATCATTGCATAAGAGACACAAACAACCAACACCAAAAAGAGGATAAATTATTAATAACTTAAACATTCCTATAAAGTTATTATATAAAGATCAATTAAAATTAATTAGCAAACAATTACTTCATCTATCATAAAGCAATCCTCATCCATTCATAAATATATATCCTATTATTCAGATTTATGCATGCACTCGAACTTTTAAGAGTTTTGCTTTGCCATGTAAAATCAAATCTTCAATGTTGAAATGGAATTCACGACCCTAAGATTAACTATAAGAACCTCTTTCACTCTTCATCATCTCTAGACTTGTTCCTCTACCTGAGTCTTTGAGTCTAGTAGAGTATAATGACAGCTTCCCATGAGTGTCCCTAATCAAATGCACAACACTAAAATTATAAAGGGTTTGTACCTCTTCCTTAGAAGCACTAGTGCAAAAAGGGTTTTAGACATCTGTTCTTTTGGGCTTTTAACGTCAAATCTCGATCCGAAGTTTTGGGCTATAGAGTCCGACGTCTATCAAAGACGTCGGATTACACCAAAATCGACGTCTAAGGGCACTATAGACGTCGGTTAATGCCTTTAACCGATGTCTAAGGGCACTATAGACGTCGGACATGACATTAACCGACGTCTACAACAGCTCGTGTTTTTGGGTAACGTAGTAGCACCTTCTTCCTTTGCTAATTTCCTCATAAGAAAAGCTTGCATCTTTTGGATCTCTTGTGGCATTTCAACCGAAAACCGAATCTGGGTCCTTGCCTAGTTCCATTCCAACCGCCAATGAAAAAGAATACGGTGACATGAAAACTAGATAAGGATCCAGGTTCGATTTTGGGTTGAAATGCTATGAGAGATACAAAAGATGCAAAATTTTCTTACGAGGAAACTAGCAAAGGGAGAAGGTGCTACTACGTTACCCAAAGACACGAGAAAAACTGCACGAAAACACAACGAAAACTCATTTTAATCGGTTCAAATGGAACATAATCCATCAAAGACTAATTTAATCGGAGTAAAAGTAAATTTAAACGGTTCAAAAGAGATAAAATGCACCTGAAAATGCAATGCTGCGGAGAGAAAAGGCGAGGAGAAAGACGATGAAGTGTGTGTAACCACGGGTTCGTGATTTCTGATTTAACAAGAATCAAGACCTCGGTGCCCCTAGTGCCCGACATCTATTCTCGACTAGACGTCGGGGACCTCACTAATATGACATCCATTAGATTTAAAAATTAATATTCGCAGTGTATATAGACGTCAGATGTGGTGGGATCCGACGTCTAGGTTAACTTTTCACCTACCCTGTCAGCCATATAGACGTCTGTTACATGGGACTAACGTCTATAATTGCGCATAGACATCGGGGATGGCGGGATCAGACGTCTATAAATGATTTTTCACCTACCTGTTAGGCATATAGACGTCGTCCCCCCCCCCCTCAACCGACGTCTAGATGCCCAACTTATTTACGAAAATGTCACCGGTCAATAATTTACGTTGGTTATTTTGTGGTCTGACGTCTACGGAGTGACATTAAAAGCCAATTCTGCACTAGCGAAGCAAAACCTCACACACATATGAAATTCACTGACTTAACATTCTTCATTATCATTTCCTTCACCTAATAAGCGAGCGCCTAACAGTGCAGATTGGCGTCCAACGCTCTAGCCTCCTAGAGCTCTCTAACTTGGCCATTTCGAAGTGGTGCCCAACAATAAATATATGTCTCGTAATACAACATCAAAACAATGAAAAATCAAGTATTTAACTTGTGCAGTTGGCTAAATATAATATTTCTATTTCTTTCCTGTTTCCCATCCAATTTATTTGAATACTTCCTTAAGGATCAATTGCTCATCATGCACAAATTAGTTTCCTAACTTTATTCAATTCAAACAATACAATTTCATAGAATCCTAACTTTTGTACAATTCACATAACCTGTAATTTGATTTCAAACATCCTATTTCACAAATACTAACTTGAAACATGCAAAATTTTCTCAAAATTATAGTTTAATGCTTATTATATCACAATCAAGTTTGGATTCAAACAATGAAAAAGTTAAAATTAGTCAAAGAAATAGATTGCCTAAAAGAGAGCAAAACGAGTCTTACTATATTTGACTCTTCGATCAAGTGCTTTCGTAGAACTCCTTCAAACGATCATAACTATAGTTCTTAATTTCCAAAAAGATGAAGAACGACTAAAATTAGCTAGAGAGAAGTTAGAGATAGTCCATCATTAAAGAACAAAATAGATAGCCATTAAATATCACTTCATTAAAGAAGAAAAGACAACTAAACAAATTCGACTCGAGTATTGTCCAACAGAAGATCAAATTGCAAATATTTTTTTGAAGACGTTACCAAGACCAAGATTTGAATTATTGCGCGTTATACTTGGAGTTACCGAATTTTCATTAAGGAAGCGTATTACGTAACTGTAATGCAAATTCTAGAAGAATATTGAAATGGAATACAAATTCTAGTATATTGTAGAAAAACCTAAGATGAGAAGAAAAAGAAATTAAAAACATTCTACATAAGATAAAAAAATCTAAAACATTCCACATAAATTGAAATTAACTATTATATATATATATATATATATATATATATATATATATTAACTATTCTTTTCACAGTCTCAAAATACTAACAAGAAACTTATTTAAATATTTGAAATGTCCTATAATAACATTAGGTCTAGCATTCTCCCACATCACCGATTTTAAACATTTTTAGTTGAATTGTAAATCTTATCATCACACCTACAAAAGAAATTATCCCTTCAATTTCTTTTCATAATAAGCTAACCTGTTAATTAATAAAAAAAAATTCTGTTATATACTGTATGTTACTTTCTATAATCTTAATTTTGCAAGTCCTCATTTTTATTTTATTTTTATTATTATGATTTGATAGTTTTCTTTTCCTATTTTCATGTTTTTTATCAACATTTTCATAACCATGACAGATGTAATATCAAAAAGTTCAAACAAATTTGGATGTGATGAAAATCTAATTTGTTTTGCAGGTGAGTACATCAAATTTGAGTGAGAGAGATATTCAAGAGTTATGTCTTGGCTCACGGTGCATTCCAAACTCCTACTTCAGTCTCTTGGAATCACTAATTCTGGATGGTTGCCAGTTTTTATCAGATGTACTGCTACCGTTCAATTTACTTCCTTTCTTAACTAATTTAGAAACGTTGGAAGTTCGATACTGTGATTCTGTTAAAACCATCTTTGATGTTAAATGTACAACACAAGACAGAGAAGTGGCATCTATGGGACCAACCCTTCCTTTTTCCTTGAACAAATTGACTTTATTCAACCTGCCAAAACTGGAGAATGTTTGCAATGAAGATCATTGTTCTCCCTTTGTGAGATCATTGGATGTTCAGCGTGTGCCCAACTTGAAGTATTTTTACTACAGCTCACAGTATTGTGAAATTTTTACAGATCTAGAATCACATGCCGAGAATCAAGTCGGTACTGAAAAGGTATGTACTACTGTTTTATCACTTCCTCTTGGACTGTAAATTAAGGATAGAATCATCGGTTTCTATAATTGTTTGTCATTGTTCCTTGAGTAGTACGAAATATTGTGAAAATTAAAATATGAATTTCACGTACAATGCCATCACGTGGTTAAGTTGTCACCAACTATAACTTATTAGGAATCTTTCAGCATAAAGTATACAAAAGAGATGGATCTCTAGTTATGAAAAAATAACATCCTTCTTCTTGTGCTTTTTTCCAGTTATTCAAGTGTTTGTCACTGTGGGAAAATGGAGTAAATATGATTTTGCGAGGGGAATTTGAGAGAAACCTCTTAGACAGTTTAAAAGCTCTTACTCTCTGCTTTGGTTCGGATGTATTTCGATGTAAAATTCTTGAACAGGTTCCGAATATAGAGAAACTTGAGGTGCGTGATTGTTCCTTCAAGCAGATGTTCTGTTGTGAAAGTCTTAATAATGTGCTACAGAAGCTGAAAGTATTACGGTTGGAGTCCCTCAGAGAGATGGTTTCCATTGGGCTAGAGAAGTCTTGGAGTGATTCCTTTGTCAGAAACTTAGAAATCTTTGAAGTCATTAATTGTAGGAGTTTAAAAAACTTGGTAGCGTGCACAGTGTCTTTCTCCAATCTGACGTGTTTGAAAGTAAATGATTGCGGTAGCTTATCATATTTGTTAACATCCTCAACAGCGAAGCGTTTGGGTAAACTCAAAAGAATGGAGATAAAGGATTGTTCTTCAATTGAAGAGATAGTTTGTAAGGAAGATGGGGAGGAATCAGATGAGGATGAGATAATATTTCCGCAGCTCACTTGTTTGAATCTTGATAATTTATTGAATCTAAAAAGGTTCTACGGAGGGAGTTTAGGTTTCCCATCCTTGGAGGAACTTTCAGTAACATATTGCAACAAAATGATAACTTTAGGTGTGGGTACTATTGTGGCAGGCAAATTGTGTCAAGTTAAAGTTGGTGAGTTCTCAGATGCAATTCAATTGAAAACCGAGCTCAACTCTACTACGAGGAAAGAATATCTGAAAAAGGTACGTGTTTAATATTTTTAATTTAACATTTACAATTCATGTCTGAATACCTCCTACCATTGAAATCTTTTATTGTCTGCTAGTAGTCATCCGCAAGAAATAACTTTTTAATTGTGTATCGGTCAATATTGATATTTTAAGAGTTTGACATTATGCTTTCTTCTTTGTCAAAGGAAGACAAAAACTAAAATAGAATGTTTTCAACTTAAAAATTTTACAGACAAGTTTATCCAAATAAACTCTAATAACTCCCAGATTGAAACTATGTAGTATGTTAATAAACTCTAATAACTCCCAAATTACTAAATAAGGCTTTCATTATTATCGTGTTATTAAATTGTTTTATATTATTTCCCTCTTGTAGCCACTCAAATAACACTTACACTCCTGCTAGCTATGAAATAAAAACTTACCATATTTTATGTTTTATAAAAATTATAAAGACAGTTATACAATATAAAAACAAAAAAATTAAATGATTTTAATTAAAGGAAAGTTATTTATTTATCCTAAATCATGTTAAATACACTTGTTTTTTCTTTAATTTTAAAGTAAACTATAAATTGTATCTTACAAATTTCCCATTTTTTTTATATAAAATGCAACAAAAATACATTGAAAAAGCATATAATTTATATGTTAACAAAATGTAAATTCTCTATTATTCAATCATAATTATTTTCAAATAATTTTCATAATAAATTACTTTAAAAATCATATTTAACAAAAATTATGATAAAATGATGGTTTGAAACATTGTCCCAATAACCCATACAAATTAAATTAAATTTAACTTAATTAACGTACTCATAGTATATGGTAAATTTATTAATTAAAATAACTGATAAATATAAAGAAATAGAACAGAATCAAATATTTTTCATATACCATTCTAACATTAATTTAGTATCTCTACAAATAAAAGATGTTTTTACTTTTAATTAATAAAAATAAATTGTTCTCATTATATTTATTAATAAATTGTTCTCATTATATTTATTTTACTTTTAATTGCTATATATTTATCATAAAGAATATTTCTTATTAATCTTCAACTATTTTTTATAATATTTATACACAAATTTAGGATAATAAAAAAAACACATTTTTAACAGATATTTGAAAATAAAATGCATCATCTGGAATGCAAATAAATAAATAAATAAGGTAAAAATAAAATAAATCTACTATAATCAATATTATTGGATTTTAAGTATAATCTAGGAATCATAAAAGAAAAACTATAAAGAATATAAAAATATAATATTAATAACAATAGTAATAAAAAAAGTATTTTTTTTATTATTGTCACTATCTTATTTAAAAATATATTAGAAATAATAGTTTTTTTGGTAATGTAAAAAAAAATACTTTATATAAAAGTAAAAGGAAAACATAATAATTGTTTTAAGTGATAAATAGATAATAAATATAAAAGGTTAAAAACTAAAATAAAAAATTTCACTTCTAATAACATTTAAAAAGTTCTACAATTAAGTAACTAAATTTTTTTCCTGGATATTAGTAATAGATTTGGCAAAAAATAGAAAATAGTTTAAAGGGCAAGTCAAACATAACGTATTGGGACAGAAAAGTAAAATTAAGTGAAGATGTAATTCACATCCTTATATTTGAATTTAGTCTCCTTCATCAATCTTTTATTATTATGAAAGTTGATTTTTTAAATTAATATTTATTTAGTTACATTCCTAAACTTCAAAAACAATTAGAAAAATTAACAAAATAATAATTTGAAAAACTTTAGAACTCAATCAAAGCAATCACAACTTAAATTGCCAAAGGAAATTATATACATATACTTTTTAATTGAAGAAACAATTTTCATTTTTACGTGAATTAAATAGAATTTTAAATGTAACTAAAATTTTACCAATTCTCAAAGTCCCGAAACATAATTGTGTAGGAAAAATGTAGTACGAAAAGAAAAAATATTAAATTTGATGTGTGTATTTGTGAGTAATTAGTTATAAGTAAAGTTGGTGATTTGTAGCAAAACTGGTAAGTCTAAATTCTTGCTAATTCTTATACAACATTAATTTCATATTTTCTTTTTTTTTTCATTTTTTTTTCATTTACATGTGCTGGTTTCGAAAGATTGCATCGAAATGGAGTCTTGAATTGACAGAAAGGGCAGACCTAGAAGAGATATGGTGTCTCTCACTGCAGATACCCCACTTTTCTTTCACTGACTTGAAAACCTTGATTGTCAATAAATGCAAAATTCCATCTGACGCAGTGCTACCTTTCACTTTACTTCCTTTATTACCTAAATTAGAAACATTGAAAGTTCAAAACTGTGATTCTGTGAAAATCATATTTGATATCAAATGTACAACACAAGATACAACTACTTTTTCTCTAAAGAAATTAGTGTTACGGAAGCTGCCAAATCTGGAAACAGTTTGTAGTGAAGTTAAAGAGGCTAATCCAGCTCATCCAGAAGGAAGAAATCCTAAGCTTATCCTCCCCTGTGTGACGTCATTGGCACTATCGGATTTGCCCAACTTTGAACATAATAGTATACATTACATTCATGATGATGCAGCACCAACATTTGAGGTTTGCGCTTCTTTCTTCAATAACATATGCATTCTCACACACATGCTATGTATCAAATATATATAATGCGTTAAAAGTGTTTAAATCTTGATAAACAATCTCCTACCAACCATCGAAATATTTCTCATTATTTTCTTCGTATAGAACCACTATTCATCTCATTTATCAAACTTTTCATCTGAAAATTAACTTTAAATCAAAATGGTTGCCGCCTTATGAGCAACTACCTGGTCTGGCTAATTCATCCTTTATTCTCTTTTAAATGGACTTGTTCACACATATTTTTAATTTTATCTTGAAATGTTTTAGTTTTTCACTAATTATCTGCCTTATTTTGCATGAAAGTTCACAATTTCAATTTTATACAGAGAGTTGAATCTATGACTGTACTAACCTGCTTTTACATTGGTTTGTAGTTGCAGCTAATTATACCCAACTTAGAGCATCTGACAGTGGGTAAAAATGAATTAAAGAAGATTGTGGACGGAGAATTTCAGAGAAATCTTTTACACAAATTAAAAGTTCTCGGTCTGTGCTTTGATATTGAGTGTGATGAATTTCCGGAGTATGGATTTCTACAACAGTTGCCAAATGTAAAGAAGCTTGTGGTGTGGAGTAGTTCATTCAAGGTTATTTTCTGCCATCAAAGACCTAATAATAATGAACTTCTATTACAGCTGAATGAATTACGGTTGGAGTCCCTTGGAGAGCTAGTTTCCGTTGGATTAGAGAACTCATGGACTGAGTCCTTTGTCAGAAATCTAGAAACTTTTGAAGTCATTAGATGTTCCCGTTTGGAAAACTTGGTAACATGCACAATGTCTTTCTCAAACCTGACATGTTTAAATGTAGAAAATTGTGATGGCTTATCATATTTGTTCACATCCTCAACAGCCAAAAGTTTGGGTCAACTTCAAAGAATGGAGATAAAACAGTGTAAATCAATTAAAGAAATAGTATCGAAAGAAAGCGAGGAATCAGATGAGGATGAGATAATATTTTCGCAGCTCAGTTGTTTAAAACTTGATAAGTTATTGAATCTCCAATGGTTTTACAGAGGCAGTTTAAGTTTCCCATCCTTACAACAATTATCAGTGACATTATGTACAGAGATGGTAACTTTATGTCCAAGTACGCTAAAAGCAGAAAAGTTGTCTCAAGCAACAATTGGAAACAAAGACGTTATTCTAGTGGAAACTGATCTCTACACTACTATGCAGAAGGAATTTGGGAGAAAGGTATGTGTTTAAATTTTGTTATGATTCTTGTCGTTATAAATCAGCATCTTAGAACACATTTCGTTGTGCATGGACATATATCTGTAGAATTTGTTTAAGTATGCAAGGCGGCTTAGGACAACGTTAAAAAATTATTATAATATTTTTAACAATTCTTCAAAATAAATAGTCATCAATATCATACTTAAACTATTAACAAGAGCCTATTCCAATTCTAGGCTACAGAAAAAATATATAAAAATATAATCTTATGAAACAATTCTTCAAAATTATAGTCATAAATGGATTACTTTCATGTTTTTTACCTACCATATAAGAGTAGCTTAGTGCAAGTCTAGGTGACAGAAAAAAAATAAATGTAATTTTAATTAGGTTTAATCATCTCGAACATCCCTATTTTTTTACGATTTTCTCAAATAGGTCTCCGTATTGTAAATGCTATCGATTAGGTCCCTTATTGTGAAAAACTGAATCAATTTAGACCTCGGCATTAGTTTCGTACTAACACCGATGTCTAAATTGATTCAATTTTTTACAATAAGAGACATAATCGAGAGCATTTACAATACGAGAACCTATTTGAAAAAAACCTAAAAAAATAGGGATGTTCGAGATGATTAAACCTTTTAATTATTACAAAATTTTGCTATAACTTCTAATTAAATTTTACACGCTGTGTCTATAATTTAAAGTCGAATTACGATCATTATTTAATCAACAATTATAATGAATACTGATTATCATTCATATGCAGTCTTAACTTTTCGTTACAAAATTAGAGCAATAAATTATTTGTCACTATAGAGTATGAAAATGAAAGGAAAAGAACATAGTTTAGGATAATTATAAATTTCCATATTCTAACAATAAAATTTATTTACTTATTTACATTTTTAAACCTACCGTAACGGTTGAACCAGTTTTCATGTAAGGACAACTAAATAAAATTATAAACCTCAATTCTTAACTTGTTTTTGGAAGTCTTGAAACTTGCAAAAGTGAGTATTTCATATTTGTAGGGTAGTAATTTAAAAGATATCGTTGACTCTTGTAAATAATTAGTTTCATTTTTATTTTATATATTCTTTGCACGTGCAGATTTCAGAAATTGAAAAACTTGATCTCAAAAGTAGACAAAAATTACCAGAGATATGGCACAAATTTGAATATTTATTAATTGTTGTAATAAAGAATTAATTTCATAGTTTATTTCTTATTTTGTAGGTGCAGACGCAAAGGCAATCGGTGATTGATCTAAAAAGTAGACGAGGACTACATGAGATATGGCGTGGCTCACTGTCTATACCCAACTTCTGTTTCAGTGGGTTGGTCACATTGATTGTGGAAGACTGCCCGTTTTTATCAGATGCAGTGCTACCTTTCCATTTACTTTCTTTATTACCCAAATTAAAAACATTAGAAGTTCGAAACTGTGATTATGTCAAAACCATATTTGATGTCAAATGTACTACAAAAGCCACATCAATTACTTTTCCTCTCCAGAAATTGGTTTTATCGAAGTTGACAAATCTGAAGAACGTTTGGAATGAAGATCCTCGTGGAATTCTAGGCATGCCCAGTCTAGAAAAAGTGTTTGTCGATACATGCAAATGCCTTAAAGGCGTGTTTCCAGCATCAATAGCCAAAGAGCTTGTGAAACTTGAAGATCTGGTAGTGGAAGACTGTGAGGGATTGATGGCAATTATTGCAGATGAATCTCATGAGAATCAAGAAACTATATTTGAGCGACTTCGGGTTTTGGATCTTAAAAGATTAAAAGAACTGACGTGCTTTTGCGTTGGCAACTTCACTTTAAGTTTTCCATCTTTAGAGGAAGTCCACGTCATCAAGTGCAGTTCCATGAAAACTTTCAGTGCGGTCACCAAAATAGATAATCCGACAAAGTGGTATTATTCAGAATATGAGAGACCCCGAAAGGAAACTGACCTTAATTCCGCTCTGCACAGAAATTTTGAAGAAGAGGTACGCATACTTTTACGTCTTAATATTTGTTCCATATAATTAGGAGTATAGGCCTCTGCTAATTTCTAACATTTCTTTTAATTTATTTTTATCAAGTGGTATGATTCATCATTTTCATTAAAAAATACTAGACATTTTCTTACCGAGAATTTATAAGTAGCTAGGCTATTCTCTTTTTTCATTGGAAAAATATAATTCAACTATTTATTCGTGCTTTGAATTGATAACATTATTTTTTGTTTTAAATAGGCTCCCGATGCTTCTAGGGCCATCATTTCAGTTCTTTAATAGTTCAGATTCAGATATTGATGGAGACAATGAACACGGTACATCAATATCAACTAATGCTACTGAAATTGGTAACTTTTTTTTATTGTGAGTGATACTATCCTATGTACGTGCAGATGATGATTAATTAGAAGCAGTTTTTCACAGCATAACATGATGGTTACGTAAGATTAGGTAAGTAAATTTGTATCAGTGTCATTTTCTGTTTTATTGATATCTATTTAAGTGCATATTTCTTTTGTCAATTTTTATTTATGAGACTTAAGAGCAGCATGATATTCGCTACAATACTACTTTTACTTCTTCTATAGTTGAATTTAGGGTTAAATATGTTTTTAGTCCCTAAACTATTGACCGTTTCTGGTTTTTGTCCCTCTTTCAAAGTAAGGTACAATTTGGTCCTCTTTCTTCTCGAAACTTTCATTTTAGTCCTTGGTCCTCATTTAGCAACAAATGAGGACTAAAACCAAAATTCCAAGACTAAAATGAACGTTTCGAAAAGAATGAGGATCAAATTGTACCTTACTTTGAAAGAGGGGACGAAAACTAGAAACGACCAATAGTTTAGGGATTAAAAACATATTTAACTCTTTAATTTATAACTTATAGTAATTGCTTTTATAATTCGTCTAGGGTTGAGCTTCTGTTGTTGCCTTGCAGTAATTAAGAGGAGATTGAAGGCATAAAGAATGGATGAAAATGAAGAAGAAATACATTATTATTTGTATTATATACTGTGTGAGATTAAAAGTGATGAACAGTCATGAATTTGATTAAGAGTGAAGTGACGAACTGTGTCACTAAATATATTGACTATTTGCATGTGCTTATGCTGGTTTAAAAACACAAATGTAAGATTATATTCATTTTCTGTTAATTTTATCTTCACGTGATCATAATTCTATCTAGTCACTTATGAGTTCTCTGTTGTCACGTAAGTAATGTAAATGCATATTTGTTTGTAATAAAGAAAGTTGATGAGGTCATGAAGATTTTTGAGAAAATGTGGCATACAATACAACAGTGCCTATAATAGTTTCAAATTTTGTGGAACTTAAAAAGTCTGAAGTACTTGTAAAAGGTTTCAATGCGTCCTTAATAGTTTATAGACACTTTTATCGGTTGTTTACATTACAGCCATTTACACAAGTCAGTTTCATTTTTTTTTCAAAACTTAGTGAAAAACGTACCAACTTATGTACAGTGAATAATATTAAATAAATATAAATATTTTCATAATATCTATAATTAATGTACACATATTATTTTTGTAATATAAATATAAGACTAAAATTCTTATTTCATTTAATTGTTGTTTCAATTATTCAGTTTGATTTTTTTTAATTAACTTTATTTTTTTTAAAACGATTCAATTAAATTCTTTATGTAAAATATTATAAATAAATATTAAAAATATTTAAATGATGTATGATGATTTTATTATAACATTAAAATATTTAAACAGTGATAATGTTATTATTATATATTAAAATATTTAAATAATAATATGAATCTAGAAAAAGAAATATTAAAATAATATTATGATAATAATATAAATTTTTTATATAACAATAAAAGAAGAGAAACAACAAAGTTTTAGAATTGAATCTATCATTCTTTCTTTATCTTCTTCTTCCTTTTCATTTTCTTTTTTTATTAATCAAGATTTTAGAATAATTTAGAGAAATTAATAAATATATTGAATAGTAAACTTTTATTTGAACAAATTGTTCTGAGATAAAAAAATTGTATTTACTTTTATAATTTTTAAATTTATTTTAATATTTATTTATTTTATTTTAGTGTCCTTATTTTAATTTTATTCATTTATTTATTGTTATTGTTTTTAATTTATTATTGAGATATTCATAACTTCAATTTTTATTTATTTATTATTATTATTATTTTATTAGTAAAGTGTTAATAACCTCGTTCATATATAGTTATTGTTATTATTTTATTAATAATTTATTTATAATTTGATTTTTATTCATTTATTGCTATTATTTATTTAGTGAAATGTCAATAACTTCATTTTTCATTTATCTATATTTATATTTAATTTATTTAATGGAGTATTTTTAATCTCTTTTTTATTTGCATTTATTAATTTATTTAGGAAGGTATTTATAATTTTTTTTACCTTTGTTTGTCTATTTATTATATTTAGTGAAGTGTTTATAAACTTATTTTTATTTACATTTACTTACTTATTTATTTTATTCAATGAAATATTTTTAATCTTATTTATTTGATTTACTCGTATTTATTATTTATATTTATTTTATTTATTGAAATGTTTATAACCTCATTTGATTTACATTTATTTGTTTATTTATTTTATTTAGTAAGATGTTTCAATCTCATTTTTTTATTTATTTTTATTTATTATTTATATTTATTTTATTTAGTTAAATATTTATAACCTTATTTTATCTACATTTATTTACTTATTTATTTTATTTAGTTAAGTGTTTTTAACCTAATTTTTTTTAATTTACTTGTCTTTATTATTTATATTTATTTTATTAAATAAATTTTTTATAATTTATTTTATTTACATTTATTTGTTTTTTTTAGAAAAAGTTACACCTCCTGCTACCATAAATCAAATTTTCTTTGTTATATTTTAAAGTAATTAGTTATAAATACATTAATAATATACTCATTTAAATCTATCCTAACTACAATAAATGAAATTGTACCAGGAACGACCGTCCGCCCATTTTAATGCCGAAGGACCAACTACCGTCCGCCTTCCGTGACATTGGAGGCGGACGCCCATATCACATGGGCGGACGCCCACACGCCATTGACCACCCAAATCACTAATCATCGTGGCTTAGGTAAATTAACCTGGCTTAGAGGTAAGTGGGGATTAAAAGCTATTGGGCTACTTTGGGCAGTGATTAACTTTTCACTAATCCCAAGCCCATAGCGAAAACTATAAATACAGGTCCATGGTGAGTGGTAGATAGGTTACATTAAATGCACATTTATTGATGTCCTTAAGAAAAACCATTGTTCCGAAACTGACTTTGGCATCGGAGAGTCTTTTGCAGGTCTCCGCCCCCCGGGATTAAAAGGAGAGCTAAGACTTGGAAGGAAGATCAGCAACCGAGACAAGAGCGCAGGAGAATTGGGAGATCAGGAATAGCACAGCCCTACACATCCGAAACAGAAATTATTATGTATTAAAAGAAAATTATATTATTCCAAATGCCATTTATCCCATCGTAACAAAATCACAAAATAAAAAGTATATTTCATCATCGCATGTCCATGCTAGCAACAAATATAAGTCACAAGCTCCATTAGCTCAGCATTCAAGGCTTTCTCATTATCTATACTTTTATCTCTATTTTTCAAAGACAGTATTACTTCTGATTCTATTTCAAAAATACACGTAACACTTACAACTCTACTTTCAAAATATACATAATACTTCTAATTCTATTTCTAAAATACAAGTAATATTTTTAACTTTATTTTCGAAAAGTTACTGCACTCAGAATACTCACATTTTATTTACTTCATAATATTCACAACTTATCTTTTTATAATACTACACTGACAATAGTCAAATTTTATAATATGCATGTGTTGAAGATAATGGATAAGGGCCAGGGTCAACATTTCAAATAATGTTTATAGTTTTTTTATATATATTATATTATATTACCCAAACAATTAATGTACGTAAGAATGGGTTACATATTTTGAGATAAATTCTTACGCGTTTTAGACAAAGACATTTGCCACCCAATATTAAATAAATTAATAATTTGTCATAATTCTGCTAGCTGCCTTGTTCTTCTTTTCTTGTCTTTTATTATTATAATAAAAACATTATACGTCATTTCCCATTAACTTACTTCTACTCAGTAATTCTAACATTATTATTTCTGGAGTGGTTGGTTACAATGAAATATCTAGTATTACAATATCACTTTTTGTAAAAATCACTGCAGGAGAAAAAGAAAAAGAAAAAGAGAATCAGGCCAAATTCTATTGAATAATTTCATTTTTATTTTTATTTATATTTTATTTTATTTTATTTAGGATGTGTTTTTAATCTTTTTTATTTTTATTTACTTGCTTGTATTATTTATAATTATTTTATTTAGTGATGCGTTTATAATCTCATTTTTGTTTACATTTATTTTATTTAGTGAGGTGCTTTTAATCTCACTTTTTTTATTTACTTGTTTCTATTATTTATATTTATTTTATTTAGTGAGATTCTTATAAATTTTTTTTTTACTTGTCTTTATTATTTATACTTATTTTATTTATTGAGGTGTTTATAACCCATTTTTTTAATATATTTATTTGTCTATTTACTTTATTTAGTTAGGTGTTTTTGACCTCATTTGTTTTTTTCTTTCTTTATTATTGAGTTTTGTTTTATTCAGTGGGGTATTTATAACCTCATTTCATTTCCCTTACTAGTCTTGAACAGGTTACTTACTGCCGTGTAAATCTAGTATTTTTGTGCTTTAATAATTTTATGATGTGATGTGATTTAGTTACACTGTCTTGTAAATTTTTGTGATCTTATAAATCGAAGAGTTTTAATTAGACTACAAAAACACAATTTTTAGAGATATGATTCTAATGCAATTCCATTTATAAAAGCATGATAAAGAAAAATACATAGGTTTTTCATGCTTGACCTTTCTTGATTGTTTAAATCATAACATTTTACTAAAAAAATAGATTGAGATGAAATTTGTGGGATTGGAATCTAGATTCGAAGAGCTTCAATTAAACTACCAAAACATATATGATTTTTAGATAGATGAGTTTAATACAGTACCATTTATAAAAGCGTGGTAGTTTGAAAGGAATACATAGGTTTTTAATGCTTGACCTTTATTGATTGTTTAAATCATAACATTTTATCAAAAAAAATTGATTGAGATGAAATTTGTGGCATTGGGATATAGATTCAAAGAGCTTTATTATACAATATTCTCTAAGGAGACTAGATTGTCTAGCAACTCTTGTTTTCAGGTTTAATGTACAATACTTAATGAAATATCAATTATTGAATAAAGCATCTAAAGGATGTGTTTACTAAAAATAACGTTCAACGAAATATGTGTTTATCAAATACAAACTGTTTATCAAACAACGTTGCATTAAATAAGCAGTTACAACATTTTATGAAAATAGTGTTTTTCAACATATATTGTCTAATAAACAATGTTTAATAAAAAAAACGTCTAACAAAAGGAAACGTCTAAGTGTACCTAATGTAAAACATTAAAGCTTAAAATCTTATATCCAAACATTGTTGAACAAATAAGCGTTTAAAGAAAAGAATCCTCTAAGAAAAGCTCGCTAAACGATATAATGAAACTTACAAAAAGTTTATTAAGTAAGCGTTTAACATTTTATATTATCTGAAGATCATATATCAAATGCTTTGTTTCCTAAAATGATGCTTCTATATATCAAAAGAACTGACATGTGCCAATATGTTTTAACGCAAATATGCCTTAACGTGACATGTAAAACATTTAATGCATGTATGAGAAAACACCTATTTGTTTGTATGTCTTGTCCTCTTTATCTGTGCAGATCATGAAAGTACAAGACCTTTATTGAAATTCTTGCACATGAAGGATAAAGATGTTAAGAGATATTAAGACATTTTAGGATTATTTCCTTAAAGCTTCAAGCTCTATAGTATCGTACAAACTACTTTTATAAAAGCTCTGATAAAGCACTATAGCTCTACAATGTAAACTTAAGTCTGACTACCTACCTAAAAAGGCTACAAAATCTACATGGAAGTCAACTCTCTATCTAACGGATCTCTCACTCGAAGAAAGTTATATATATATACATATATATATATATATATATATACACACACACACACACA